CAGTCTGGGTTTACCCATCTTCAGCCTCAGTTTAACATCTCGAGGGCTTGGAGGCCCCAACAGGCTGTCCCTTCTGAAGTTGTCCATCAGACCAGGCTGGTAGCAGAAGGGAGCTGGATTCTCTGCACACAAGTGGCTAGGGCAAGGCAGAGCTAAAGCTGTTTTCTGGGACAGGAAGAGGGCAATGGCAGCAGTAGTGATACTTTTAGTGGTCCAGCCTAAGAATGCATCTGTGGCAAAACTGTTTCTGGGTACCACACTATGAAAGGTTAAGATGGGGAGGATCATGGAAAGCAGATATCGTGGGTGCAGGATTCCCCAACACTGCCAAAACCATGGGATTTTGGGTGCAGGCCCCATGTCTTGTGCTCATTCCTTGATAAAATCAGGTGCCACCTATTGGAACATTTTCTCGTGGAGCACCCTTGCCTTTGGCTGGGTTGCTAGTTTGCACTACTACATTGTTCTTAGGGAGCTTGCTACCTTAGGATACTCAAGGTTACTACCCTCTATGCTGCGCCAATCTTATTGCAGTCTTTTTGCAGATTCCCAGTCTCTGCAGCAGCAGTTCATGGAATGATACCCGGTGTTATTTATTCAGCCTATCAGATGACAGTAAATTGGGAAAATTACAGAAATACATGTTTCTGTTCCTTTCTACCAGCTTAATATTGGCATGCAGGGTGTGTTTTCAATGCCATGAAGTGTGGAAAATAAGCTTCATAGTAGATTATGCTTTTGGTGCTCTCTCCATTGAGGGTAAGAAGTCTGCAGGAAGATGACTTGGGGTTCCATGAATCAAAAGGCCAGGGGCTCAATTTCTTATGTCTGAATATAGACTCTACTATATATTCTTGGTGGCATGAAGTTTACTTGGGTCAAGCAATTAATTACTCCTAGTGTATGTTTCCTTAATATGGGTCTTTTTTGTGTGAGCTGTGAGCACTTTCGGGTTGGGCTATTTTGGGGGGTGTGCGTGTCTGGACACATGCTAGTGTGGGTGTCTAAAACCACCATGGTTCTTTGCTTGGGCAGGGCCTAGGGCAAGGACAGAGAAGGGAGGGTGTAAAGTAGGTCATTAAGGCATGCGAGGGGCTGCATCTCAGACTCCAGGAAACCACCCAAGCAAACCACCCAAGCAAGGCTTCCTCCTGAGGCTTTCTCTGCAGTGTCAAACAAGCAGCATGTTTTCCCTCTTTAAAAAAAAAACAACACCTGAAGCTATTTTAAATCTACATTCAAATGCAAGCAACTGAACTTGAACAGCTCTTGTGCCACAGTCTGCACAAGCCTCCTGGAGGTGGAGACTGCCAGGGTGGACCCTGGGAACTTAAAAGCTGTTCCAGACCTTTATGGGAGGGAAAGGAACTCTCTCTCCCTCTAGTCCTTGTGTGGTTTGTCCCCAACCTGTTTGGCCTGCAATCTGAGGAGACAACTGCCTTTTCATGTTTTATACATTTTATTCGTACATTTCTCCAACTTTGAAATGACAAAAGCCCAATTCTATGGTTTCCCATTACACAGCATCCTACAAGTATGTATATGCTACAAAGAATACTATGAAGATTCTCTTCCTCCCCTGTCACATAAGAGATAACTGATTAGGGTTCCATCGACTTGTACTGTCTGGCAGTGCACCAGTGTTCTGGTAGTTCTGGCGACAGGGCAAAGGGATCAGGGTGGGAGGGCATGTGCTAAGGCATGTAAATAGATACACACAGAGAGAAAGAAAAGTGGGACATTTACAGAGAATCCAAACCTTTCCGATCCCTTCACCTCCTGGGTGTTGGAGGACACCTCCTGCACAAACGCTCTTGCACACTAAGGCTTTGCTGTACCCTGCAAATACTTACAATTGGATACGGTGAAATATACAACAACCATTAACATCGCTCTCTTTTTATCACTGAGACAATACTTCAAAACCTTTTATAAAAAGGCAATTATACATACAGAAAAAAGAACACGTTGGCAAAACTTTATGCAAAACAACCCCAGTACTGAGTTTGAATGGCGACGCACCTGCATTGCTATTAAACGTGATACTCTGAGCACGTGAGGCTCATGTGGCCTTTGCTTCAGTCACCCTGCCTGCTGCCCCTGCAGCCTCCAATCTGCCTGCATGGGTGCCATTCCAGGACACAGGTGAGCTGCAAATCAATTCCTCTAATTCCTGGTCTCTTCAAAATGGGAAAAACAATAGGTGGGATGACTCACTGTGGAGGAATGCCTATTTCTACTCTCAAACAGACCTCCTTCTAAGAGATTGCACATTCTGTGTGTCCTGAGAGGTCTGGTCACACCTCCAGACCTCTCTTGGTGAGAACACTGACACACTCCCTACATCATGTGCCAGAGAGGCTGGAACTAACACATGTGTGGCAGCAAAGTTCTGAGTTTCTGAGCACACACAGATATGGAGTTGTGCTTGGGGCCAGAAACGAGGTCTCTTGTGTGGTGACAAACATCTCTTTCCATTTTCTTTTGCTCGGTCCATTTGCACAGGTTCAAGAGAGTTGATGGAGGGGGTCAGGTGAGAGGTGGTGGGAGCTCTGGTTTTTCAACGCCCCCCCCCCCCCCCCCCCCCCCGCCACGTAGAAGCGAAGACTTGGCAGTGCCTCTCCTAGAGATGGTGAGGCCCTCCTCCTCCTCCTCTTTCTGTGATCTGGGTCTGCCGGCCTTCTGCAGACCAAGAGTGGTGGAGAAAAGACCAGATAAAAGGGATGTGGACTGGTGAGCATACTATTCTCCGTCTGTTCTACTTTCTGTTCATGTTACAGCTAAACTTCTCTCACTAAGCTGGAAGACCTGAGCCTTCCAGTTGCTCCAAGTTTAAAGTGAACTGATTAACTGAGTGTGAGCAAAGCCAATCAAGCATCAAACCTTCTGGGCATAGTCCAGTAACCGAAGACACCACATGGAGAGGAAGATCTTACTTCTAAAGGGGTAACAAGAGGAAAAGTTCTATCAAATAAGATGATTCACAATGAAAGCTTGTAGCCCTTATGTAAGCTGCAGTGAGAAGCAAAATATCTTTCAATGAGGAGAATTAATTAAGAGGCACAGAACAAGAGAAAAGCATTCAGGGACCTTTAACCTATAACATTCTGTAATCAGCCTCAGTATCATAAGCCCTTGTAAAGAGGATGGAATTAGGAGGCTGTGCTCAGTTCTGGAAAAACAAACCCTTCCCCAGCTCCCCAATGCACACACACACATACACAGACCAGCTTAATAGGACACAAGGAGGAGGAGGAATGAGGACATTAGGGGCTTGTTTTGGAATGCCGATTGCAAGGTGCCTTCTCCTCCTGCCAAGGAGACAGAGTGGGAGGCATTATAATTAAGAATTTTTTAATCAAGATTTTTCTTGCTAGCCATAGCAACATGTTTCTCTGCCCCAAGTTAAGAGATGGACCTAAATGAAGAAAAGGACATCACATTAATGGAATACAACAGATTGCTTGGGGCCACCTGTCTGTAAGGGGCAGTGTCCACTCTGAGCATCTCCCCCATTCATTTTCCCCAATGGTGGCTTAACTGGCTCTACTTTTTTAAGGGATAAACTCAAACCCTTAATGAACTACAAGTGATTTAAAAACAAAACCAACCCACTCTTCTCTGTGGTAATGAGATCAAAGGCTTTACAAACACAATTGCTGCACTGAGCCTCAGCCCGGCTGGTTGGCTCCAGCAGTGCGAGATGGAACTGGACCTGGGCAGGGGGAACACTTGCTGCCTCCTTTGTGCAGTGATGCTTTTGCACCATCTTTAGATCCCCTGCCACCAATAGAATGGGTTCAGGAAAGAAGCCTTCTGATGCGAATAGCAAGAAGTAGGTCATCCATTTCTCTTCTTCTCTGAGCAAATATTTTAAACCAACTCACCTGACAGGAGATACAATTAATTGCATTTTAAAGGGTTGCCATACTAACTTGACACCGGGAGACTTCCAGATGAACTGAGTGACATTTTCCTTTTTAGTGTTAAAATTGAATACATTGCATGTGCAAAGTAATTACTGCTTTCTGATTTAAAAATCAGGGTATTTCTTCTTTTTAACAAATAATTCAGTGCATTAAAAAGACCTTCTTTTTGCTGTGGGTACAGGGGCTGGGATAGGACTGAGAACCCCCAGAATGTGGCTGATTTGACCAGTGATAAAATCTAATAACGTTATAATTTCCTCTGGTATTCAAAAGAAAAAAAGATGGTTTAGCTGACGAAGCAATAAAGCAGCTTTTTAGCAATTTTCTCTGATTACTTAGTGGACAACTGTAATGTAGTGGCAGGAGCAATGTACTGAAATTACCCTGAATTCAGATATTTAAGTGTTTCCTGCTAGATCTGCTTTAGAGAAGACGTGTATTAGTGGAATGGATAGGTGATCTCTGAGAAGTCAGATAGAATGAGTTCTGGATGAAAGAATTCTGCCATTTACACAATGGCAGGAACAATGCCTACCTGTATACTTCCCCAAGGATGCATAAAGCGATTAGAAGAGAGGACTAGCACTATCATGCTTTTTCCGTTTTGGGACCACAGATATTTAAATTGGCATTGCTTTTGTCTTTCTTTGCTTGATCCACATTTATCAATGTGGTGGGAGGCTTAAGTCAGGCATTGTCAGCATCTCTGGAGATTTGGCCTAAAAGGGCAAGTGGGAGCATGGAGGTTTCTGCCAGAGGGAGTTTCTCTTCCCCATGTGTTAGTTGTATTCTTCTTTGTGCTTCATTGATAAAGAGGTAGAGTGGGCCCTTTCACACTGAGAAGAGCCTGGATTGTGGTCAGTACCATCATGGGAATGACTTGACATCAGGTAGATTCAAATCAATCCTAACACAGCCCTAAACAACTCTCCGGGTTTCTCTCTCCACCCAGGATGTCTCTGGCATGGTGGTGTGGTCACCCTGCTATGGAGCACCAACAGAAGCAGTTCACTTGACATCTTGTTGCTAAGTTGCAGATTCATCTGGTCACTGACAAAGGACAACATCAGAGAAAAAAAATCAGCATCATTTAATAAGAGTAGGTGGGGAGTGATGACACTGTAAAAGGAATATGCAAATGTCTTTTCTGTGTGGTCCTTTAAGAGGGGCTTTTCAGCTCAGAACATACCCCGCAAATCTTGCCAAGGCACAAAGCAATGAGGCCATCTAACTGACAAGAAGCAAACATGATGGTATTTTTTTCAAGAATCACAGGTTAATAGAACCACTTCACACACCCTGACACTTTAGTGGAAAACCTTCCACTGACCTCCGGCAAGAGTCGGAAAACTCGCAGCCTGAATCCACTATACTGGAAGGATGTGGCCTCATGTAAGGGTGATGAGATGGTTAATGCTTGTAAAGCAACAAGGAAAGATGATTCTCCTGTGCCAAGGGATATAGCAAGAGGAAGGAAAAACCACAGATGGCCTCTCGTACATTGGTGGCCCTTGGGTGCACTGCGTGTGCTCTGGGAGCCAGGCATGGTTTGAGTTGTGCTCTGGCGGAGTATTTTGTTGTCCTGCCAACTGGTAGTCACTCCTGGGCCTTTGATGGTTCAATGAGCATCTAATGAATAATAAAATCTCAAAGATTATCAGCTTGTATATCTGAACAAATCTATAATGAAATGAAGGACCCAAAGGCATTTAATTATTGAACACATAAAAGGAAGTATATTTAAAAAAATTGGTCAAACTGTCCTGTTAGTTATCATTTTAAAGGAATTTACAGGGCTGTTATAGATTATTCTTTTGGAATAATTCAGTTTATAGCAAATGCCTAAACTGGTTTCTTCATTGCACAGTATATTCTCTTAAAATGGGTGCTTTAAAACAATTACATACATATTAAAAATCCTCATTTCTTTGCTTAATTAAAACATTAATACTCTCAGACAACACAGATTTGAAATGGTGAAACCAGCAATTCCCCCTCCCACCTTACAACAAATTAAATTGAGACAAAATTACAAACACATTTCACTATATGATTATTATTAATAAAAATCAGTTTTGTCTTTTTATAAAGTTGCCCAAAATGCAAGGGATGTGCATAGGTTTTACAACTTAGTCATAATAGCATTTTATTCTTATTCCCCTGGGTGTGCCCCGTGAACGGAATGTACTTGGCTGTAGATTACAGATCGTTTTGTCCAACACAGACACACCAACAGCATAAACGCTCGCGACTGTCCACATGCATTAAGAGTCAAGACCCAACTTCAAATCTCTAAAAGGTTTACAGGGTGCTTCAAAGAGACAGTATCACATTATCTGGATGTTACATAAAGGACTTAAAAAAAATACTATTCTAAAAAAAAGAAAGAGAAAAAAGGCCTTTAAAAATTTATGACTGTTTTGTAATCACTAGACTGATTATTTCAAATAAATAAAGGAAAGAAAGATATTCCAATCCATAAAGTCAGACTCTAAAAAGAATGTAGTGTTCCACCCCCAGTCAAGGTAACAGAATCATTGTTTATTATTATTAAAATAGATTATAGAAAGCAGCATCTATTTTGTGCAGTTTTTAGGGGCCTTGGAAATAAAAAGGCTATGATTTCCAAAAATATAACATTCCAAAGGATTGAATAATACATACATTTAAAGATACATTTTATTAAAGTTTAGGAGAACTGATTAAAAAAGATACTGTCTCTTTAAATTAGTGTGTAATTGTTTTTCTCCTCTTACCTATTCGGACATGACAATAATTATAAATGTAGGTCACACTACAACTAGGTAGTCTCTAGGGACCACGACCTGCTGATACAAGGCCGATAACAAAGAGGCGTTTCCATGTATGAGGTGGCTCCCAGTTATGTGTCAGATATCTGGGGACGGGCCTAATAGACCCAGGAGACTGGGACCCACTGAGGGGCTGTGCACACGAGCTCGACAGCTTCCTCCAGATGTCTGATTGTCTCATCAATTTCATTGTTGATAATTGTGAGATCGAAGTAGTGTGCATATGTTCTCTGTAGGATATCAGACTCCTTCTGCAGGCGCTGAAGAGATTCATCCTAAATGGTGATGGGATGGAGGCAGGGGTGGGCATGGGAGAAGGGAAAAGCAAAGAGAAGAGAGAAGTTAGCTGGATTCTTCCCCTTTTCACATTTCTATTCATCTCACTGTCAGAAACAGTCAAGGCCAGATCGTGACACGTCATATCTGGGCACAAGGCCGAGTCTGCTTTGTGACAGAGAAGATGATGGTCCCCAGGATGGCAGGGTTACAGAACTACTGCTTGCAACCCAGACTTCTCACCATGCAACAAGGGTCTCCATGCCAAACCAGACAGACCAGAGAAAATACACACTCTTCAGCAAACACACTGCCCCATGGGGACTAGCTGTCCTGTCCCAGGATCAGTAGGTGATCGACTAGCACAGTTCTGATCTCTTTCGTCTAAGCCAGGCTCAACTCATCCCCAGCCATTCTCCTGGTCAGTGGGAGGGCTTGGGTGATGCAGTCAGAACCCTGCCTCTGCCTTCCCTTGGTCCTCTGACTCACTTTCACAAGGCCCTAGAGCCCTCCTGCATTTGCACCAAGAAGCCCCTGACTCTGGAAAACAAATTAAGTTGTGTTTTTCTCTTTTCTACTTAGAGGCTCAACATGTTCCAGAAATTCAATTACATATAATGGCACTCACTCAATGGCAGTGGGTGCCAGAGGCAAAAGCTTTTTGGATGTTACAAATAATGGATGAAATCAGGCCATTACCCAGATACAACAGCAACTGGCATCTGATGAATCCCCTCAAATTGGTCTGTATTGGAAATGCCCAAATGTCACTGTTCATAAGTATTTAACTCTCTTATGGAAAACATTCTAAAGTAAAAGAAGCCATTGGTGGCTTCTACGGGGTTTTGCAACAGTAAAGAACTTTCCCTCAACTCCCAGGGCTAGCTACAGCTTTTGAGAACTTTCAGCAGGGTGAGCTCATAGAATAAGGAAATTCAGGGTCCCTAGTTTGTCATGCAAGTCTCACTTTAGCCTCAGGATGGCAGTTCTTTCAAGATGACGGTCTCTTAAAAGTCAGCAGAAAGTCTGCCACTGCATCTTCATGGTTCAGATCATGTTATGCTGAATGTTCAATGGGCATGTTCAAAACTGAAACCAGGGAACTTGGTAAGTCAAGTTAATTGTACCCTTCTCTCCCAACACTAGGTAGTGAGCTGTTGGGCTGAGTTTTAAAATATACACAGATACAATTAAATACCTGGTTATTAGATTCGGATCTCTTTCCCCACCTAGATCGTAAACTTGTCTTGTGTGTCCTGTGCTGTGGCCAGCACTTGGCATTGTGCCTTGTACACAGTAAGTGCTAAATAAAGGTTATTGAAAGAACAAGCACTTTGCTGACTAGCACTGGCCATAATAGGATATGATGTGTGTTAGGTCTATAATCAAGACACAGAGCAGTTGTACCAGGAAACAGGGGCCTATGATAACATAGATGGAATTCCAGAAAAATTAAAACATGTGGTGCTTTCAGGAACTTGGGAGCCATGCTAGCTTAGGACTCCTTCTCTTCTCTAAGGCCCATCTTTTATTTGTAAGAGACCCTTCCTGATGTGCCTGTAGGTGCAACTCCCTGGAAAGGGGATCCAAAGCGACACTTGATTGATTCCATCATGGCACCACAGTGGGAATGGACACATGCCAGGGAAGTTGGGGACTCCATCTTTTCTATGGGGACACTCTGAAATGAGAGTGTCCTACCTGTGTTGTTATCTCCTACTGGAATTTCAAAGCAGGACACGGCATGCTTTAGATGTTTGGTGTTAAGCACTACAGTGTTGATAAGACCTCAGTGAATCACCTCCTCAGGTCATATTAACACACTGTCTGCTTGCACTGAAAAAGCATAGTATTTTCACTGTGGCTTTACTTTAACAAAAATATAATGCAGCAGCTGCATTTTAGGAAACATGCATTCACCCAAGTATGACTGCTTCCTACCAGTATGAGAAGGAATATCTCCTACATATTACTCTCTGGGATAGGGGACCCTATTGGAATATAAAGTCCTGGGCTTCAAAAACCACTAGGAGAGTTTATGATTTGCTCAGAAAGCTGGGCTGATAAAAACACTGAACAAAATTTACACCTGAGAGCATCAAATGTTTAAGGTAGTTCTCCTTATAAAAAAAATACAGCTCCCTCTTAAGGATCTTACAGGATGAAGCTATGTTTGTCAGTTTCTTCCTTGACAACAGCTTATCCGCAGGCTTGACTTACATGTGAGTAGGATTTAATTCAGTGAAAACAAAATGCCTTCATTTTAACAGCAAAAGCAAGGATTTGTGGGAACAAAATGTCTACATTCTAAGTCTATGAGAGTAATCAAGGCTATATATCATCACCTCCTAGCTGGTACTTACAGGCAATTTTCTGCACCATTTTGGCAGCTATGGAAAATTAGTAAAAGGGCAGGAAAACAGGCAAAAAACAAAAACAAAAACAAAGCAAAGATGATAATTAAAGAAAAATACATAGCAACCAAAGGATAAGACCTAACCACAATGTGGAGTTTCAAACATGTTTATGTATTAAATGAGATAAAAAAGTAACATTCACAAAGAAATACCCCTTTTGCAAATGAAATGACAAAAAATGAAATGTACATGAAATGAAAATTTACAAGCCTTGATTTGACTGTCATAAGCTTGGCAGTTAGGCCTGGGTTTACTCAACAGAGTTAAGAGCCTTCTGGTGGTTTCTTGACCTTGTAGAAGTAATGGTCTTCGGGATAACTTTGTGTAGAACTCCTCTTAAGAATAACCCCAAAACTACCTTCTTATCTGCCCAGCAACAGGAGGCCTTTTAAGTCGGCCTGGTAGGAGATGGGTGCAGTCAACTCTTGTAGCCACCATCTTTGTGGCAGCTGTGGACTTGAGTTGGCCTGATAGGGGGCGGAGGTCATTTCTAGGTTTGGAAGTCTCCAGGGGCATGGGTTCCACTCCAGAGGCTGTCTTGGGGAACCTGGACAGCCCTGTCAAGGCCATGAATTCCTTATAGCTGTCTTCAGGCAAAGCAATCCTTGGCCCAAAGCTGGGCTTGGGGCTGTAGCTTTGCTTTCTTGGCACAGTCCCTGTCAGGAGGAGTGGGCTGGCAGCCCTGGAGGGAGGGAGCTGCCTGGAAAGCCTCTGCCCTGGAGGGATGAGCAGTTCTAAACTTTTTAAAAGTAGACATTGATTAGGCCACAGGGTGACTGTACTGGGAACTAAGGCTTGAATTTGCCTAATGACTCTGATCTTAGAAGAACCACACTTGTCTATATGGCCTAATTCCTAACACTGAAAGAGGACCTCAAACTCTGGAAATATTAATGGCCAGCATGAAGAACAAAGCAGAGCTTCAGTTAGTCATCTGAATAACATGAGGCTTGGGTCTTGAATGTATAACACAACTGGATCCTTACTATGAGTGGGTATGCTAATTTGGGGAAAACACTGATCAATTCTTACCTCATTCAAACCTGGAGTAATAGTTGGAGCGGCAATAAAAACAACAAAGGGAGCAAATTCGGCAGTTCTCAGGACCTTCAGTGCCTGTGTAAAAAAACAAAAAACAATTGACACTTAGAAAAAATAAGTAATACAACTTTCAAACAAGTCGACAAAAAATTTACACAGCTGAAAAAGCCCTTGACTCAAATTTTTGGCAAGGTATTAAATTTACCAAGTTTATAAATAACACATGACTTCCCATTCTTCCAAAGGATAGACAATAGCCATCAGCAAATAAAAGGTGACAAACTGGACATTTTTCTTATGCATCTCATGAATCAATATGACTTAATTTTTCTTCAGAAAAGTTAACACTGATTATGTTGGTTTAATGTTCACTTAAACCTGGTTATTAATTGTAGCCTAAATTTTAATTTATACGAAGTGCATTTTGGGGTAGATTGGGACCAGCAGGCTGGCTTCACCACCGATCTAGAGCACGCTTCACATTTCAAATTTCAAATCGCTTGACAAGGATTAGCAAATACTGCCACTGTCACTGTGAGGCTGTGTTCATAGCTTATGAGGTGCCCCCATGAAAGGCCCCTGTGGGGCTCAGGGTGGGGGGAGGGAGACCCTCTCTAAAGCTGGAGTCTAGAGCCACTAAAGAAGTTTTGGGGCCATGGGCAATTCATAGGCCCATGAGAGAATACTACATTCAAGGGAGCGGGACTTCTGAAGCCTCTTTCAGCTCCTTTCCCAGGCAAGAAAAACCTCTAAATATGTGAGCAACGAGTTAGCAGGGACATAGTGCAAAGCAGACAGCTGATGGTGTAGCGAGCAGTTGATTCTGGTAAGGGTGACTGCTTCAGCTCCTCATGAGTACACAGCACTCCTAGAAGTTACAAAATCCCCTCTATTGGACAAAAACATGTATGGGCACACAATTCTGATGTAACCGACATGTAATTTATTTGTATGTATCAGGGGTAAATATCTTGCTGTCCTTTATACAATAATTTTTTTTAAATTTTATTTATTTATCTTTAGAAGGGAAGGGAAGGGAAGAAGGAGAGAAATATCAATGTATGGTTGCTTCTGGTGCATCTCCTGCTGGGATCTGGCCTGCAACCCAGGCATGTGCCCTGACGGGGAATCGAACGGCGATCTTTTGGTTTGCAGGCCTGTGCTCAATCCACTGAGCTACACCAGCTAGGCTTTATACAAGAATTTAACATGTCTATTCCACAGTTTGCTTTCTAAATGGCCTTTCAATTGTTTGTTTTGGCATATACCTTTCCTCCTTTTGGGGGGGGTGCTGGTTTACTGTAGTAGCAATTAGACCTGTTTCTCTGCCTCGAGTTTTCCTACGTTCCAATCCATGCTAATCCCTGCCACCAAAATGATCTTTTGGAAACACAAATCCCAATGTATCATTTCTCCACTTCAAACCCTTTGACTGCTCCCTCTTTTCCTTGGGGTAAAAATGTATGGTCCTTAAGGTTAACATCGGGTCCCTCCCTTGATAGCTGATCCATGCTTACCTGTCAGCCTCTCTCTGCCCCTCCATGGACTGGCGTTGCTGAACTACTTTCACTTCAAGAAAGGGCCAAATTTTCTCTGGCTTCCTAGCCTTTTTCTTAGGACTCCTTCTGCCTGGACCTTCCATCCCTTTGTCCCTGTCCCTACACTCCCTTCTGCTTGGCTGAGTGTTTACTGAACAGAGTACTGATTTTCTTTTGTCTACAAAGTCCTTTGTGTGCTCTAAGCTGAGGTCAGGCACCCTTTTCATGTGCTCTTGATGCACCCACACCGATGCACCTGTAGTACCCATCACGCCAAAAATGCAGTGCCTGGATTTTCAGGGGCTGCGTCTTCTTTAGTTATCTCCCTCGTGCCCCAAATGGCACTTGCTGTAAACAGTCTGTATGATAAGATGAAAATGTAACACAGTATATATAATTTTCACAAAATCTATCTTGCCTTTCAAGGCAGGTTCGACTAGAGGGCACTAGACTTTCAGGGCTTAAGGGACTCTCTTGGCCTCCATGAATACACAGGCACATAAGAGGCAAATTGGATAGCAAAGGGTTTGACTTTCTTTTTTAGTGCAAGTTCACTTTCACTAGAATTATGTTTCTGAATTTTAGTTACACAGTGTCTCCTTGTGGGTTAAAGGAACCCGGTACATTGTTTTACCTGTCCACCAAAGTATTTTAATTGTGAGTCACAGGCTCAGACTCCCAATGAGAGAAAGCTCTTCAAGCTTGCATATGTTCATGTTGGAAAGAGGTAATTGGCAAGTTATTTGCCAGTCCTTTCATGAATAAAGACTTTAGCAAGGAACAAACTGTATATGAAAAAGTCCATATATAGCTCAATCAAACAGGGGTCTTCATTTAGAAATGGCCTTTTCCCCTCTGTCCTTCCTATGCTTATAAATCAGGGGAGACTATAAGTCAGTTGAAACATAAGATTTCATTACTGCACACCCACCCATAGCTAGCCTTTGGGCAAATAAGACGGGAAAAAATTCCTAATGCAGAATTCCTACCCTCGCTTCCATCCCTGAAGCTACTCCAAGTGCCAAATGGAAATCCACACAGCCTGGATGCTGAATGGAACTCAGTGATGAAATTGGGAAGGACACCCTAGGTGTGAAATGGTCTTTTCTCTGCTCAGTGACCCCACCTTTGATAGCCACCCAATTCTTTGAATATTTTAACTTCTAGCCTGCTGCCTACCATATTACAACACCAGAAAGCATACTACTCAGAAAACATTAGCTCCCTGCAGATTACCCTTCTCTTCACACTACATGCACCTCCTTTGTGTTTATTCATAAAGACAAAGGTCATTCTGCACTTCCTGCATGAAACTGTCAATGAAGAGTGTACTTGTCATACTGTCAAATGCCTCTTGTGCCTAAGAATCAGGTTATAGCCTTTCAGCAATCAATTCCAAGGAAAGAACTAGCATACTTCTATTAGATGAGAATTATGGGACCAAGGACATCCCCCCTTTTTGTCCTGGTTGCCAGGAAGTTCAGAGTTAAATTTCAAGTTTATCACAGTAATTACCGTAGCTTCTGTGGTTAGCATATCTGCTTCCCCCTCCTTTTAATGGCTTTAATTTTCTATTTCTAGCTTCTATTATCATGTTTTTCCAAAAATTATAAGATTCCTTGAATCCCAACTGAGATTTTCTTGTCTAGTTGCCCTTATATCTTCAGTAGACTACACTTTTCCTCAATTGTTCTTGAAGGCCTCTGTCCCCATTCTTTGCTTAACTTAGGGGTCTCAAGTGGGTGTCATTTTTTGCAGTCTCAGCTTGCCTGAGGTTCAGGAGCACTGCAGGGACAGGAAATGAAATTGCTTCACAAGGGTTTCCTTCCCCCAGGCCTTTAATGAGTGACTTTAAGATGACCTCTAATTCCCTTTCCTTTCTGACTTTAGATGAGACATAAATCTGCTAATTTTTATAGGCAAATATCTCTTTTCTGAATTCCTGAGGGGAGAGTCTAGAAAGATCTTAGAAAATACATTGTATTGAAACAGCCCAAGTAACATAAATTCAACATTTAAAGCTAATTCTTTAGTTTTCTTTTGGGGAGATAAATTGATTATATGGCTCATCTATGGTCAGTAATTAATCTCAGATTACCATGTTCAAGGAATAAAAACCCATTTGACCTACTATCTAAGATGCAGATATCTTTTAAGATTTATGTGGCTTGTAAACTTAAAAAGTACATAAGAGCAGACACCTTAGTCATTTTGTAAAAAATTCTAAGGGTTTAAGGAAGAGCACAGTGAGCCCAGAAAGAATCTTTAGAGCCAGCTGACTTCACAGTCCCTGGTTGAGAATCTGGCTCTTGTTTTGAAGTATAGATTCCTAATAAGACTGCAGCTGCACCTTGATGACAACCTTTTCCTTTCTGGGCAAAGCAAAACCCTGAACATTCGGCTACTCATAGCTTTTTAACATGGCAAATGGATAAATCAGAATAAAATTTAATTTTAAAACCATCACAGTAAGTTTTGATTACAAACTGCAGCTATTACAGTTTCAGCTTTAGGGACATAGATCATTTTCTAAGCCAGGGGTCTATTTCCATAAAAACTAAGTTCCATAGTATTCCTTAGGTTTGACTGTCTTCTAGACTTTTTGAAGTAGAAAAAAACCCCCCAAGATTAAAATTGTACCACTACACACAAGGTGGATCAGCTTAAGGATCCTCAGGGTTAACCCTTTTAGGATAACACAATGGAAGAAGGCTAGAATCAGTTGTAAAAAAAAAAAACAAACAAACAAACCAAATCTAAAACTGTTCAAGTTCAAATCTCATTTTCATTTGGCTGTAAAACCTTGGTCAAGTCATAATTATGTTAAGCCTTGGTTTTCTCATCTACAAAAGTAGATGCTGATATCACTATCTTAGGGGTTATATGGGTAAGGTAAGGAGTACTAATGCTTGGTAAAATATAGAGCACTACTGGAACACAATCTATTATTATTTTAAGAGAAGCCAGGTTACAATTTTTTTTTTGGTTTAATGTCTTTATCACAATCCTCCAGGTTTAAAGTTGGGCCACAGTGTCTTATCACACAGTATTATTAGATATGTGTTAAATTTGGCCTGAACTGTCTAAAATGAGTTAAGATGGCACAGAATATGAGACCTGAACTAAATGAGCTGAACATCAGTGTTAGGTGTCAGCACTGATAGAAGTGAGAAGGTTTTTTAAAAAATGCCACATGGCATTTCTCTTGTTATGGATAGTTTGTGATGTACATGGAGGAAGGAATTTCATCCTTACCAGCTTGCCTTCCGAGTTGTATTTTTAGCTCTTGACACAATGATTGGGGTATAGTAAGTGCTTAACATAAGCTGGTTGAATCAAACTGTCCATGAGATACAGGAGAGGAGGTAACCTAGCAGGCTGGGTGGGGCAGGGAAGGGCATGGAGAAAAATGTCCTAAGGAGAGAGCCTCTCTGGAGCAACAAGGCTCTGCCTGACAGCAAGTTGGTCATGGCTACGGGCATCCTGGTGTTAGGATGCAGACCTTGCCAAGCTTGGGGGAGAGTGGACTGAAGGCAGAGAAGTCCCAGGGCAAAGTCCAGGAGGTGAGACACTGTGGGCATCTGCGGCTGCCATTAGACATGACAGTCAGTGTGAAAGCAGGACTGGGCAGAAGTGTAGACTAGGCACATGTGGCGGACAGCCTGGGACCAGTTTCTTCAACCACACCAATGAGAGGAACAGAACCTGAGCAACCCCTGTCCTCAGGGCCAGAAGCCTGAGAGGCTCAGGCAGGGAACAGGGTGCCTATGTCCTGTCCTCAGGGGTAGGTGGCCCTGACAGATCATGGTTCTCAGAGGTGGAAACACGGGAAGCAGGAAAGAAGAATGCAGTGAGCTCATCCAGCAGTCAGGGGGAGCAGGGAATGTGCCCAGCCCGGGATGATGGGTGCTCTGGTGCCCAGTGCCACATGTAAAAGTGACTGCTGTGGATGTCTTGATAAGGCCGAGAAAAGTGTCTCCAGCTCAGCAGTGCAGAGCAATGCATGACTGTGCAAGGGCAAGGGCACAAGGAGAGCTGGACACTAGGAGTGGAGTGGCGGCAGCAGCAGCAGCAGCAGCAGTGGTGGCGGCAGCAGTGGCAGCAGCAGGTAGGGCAGAAGCCCTGGAAAGTGGACTTAGGTAAATGCAGAGGGGTCTGAGGAGCCCTGCAGCCAGCATACTGCTAGAGACATTACTACCAGCAGAAAACGACGTTCAGGTGAAGACCAGTGTGGAACCCAAGGAGAGGATGTCGAAGACCAGGACCAGGATTGAGACTTTGCCTCTAGCCACCCCTGGCCAGAAGATTTTTCCAATCCCTAGTAAGGAGGGATTAGTAGTTAAACAGAAATCAGTCTGCATTATACATCATATATTTAGTTATATATAGGTCCAAGATAATTGTTAAGTAAACTGTATAGTGTTCACCCTATTGGTGCTTTCCTCCCAGCCCCTTAATCAGATTCCAAGTTCAAGAAGCCCATTAGGTGCTATGAAATGGAAATGGGTGAACCCATCGGCCATGATGTTAGGGTCTTGCCACTGAGTAACTGAGCTGTCAGGCCTCAGGTCACACAGACCCTGACTGCCTGACTGCAGGTTCCATCCTCCATTTGGGGATGGCTAGGGGACTAAGTCTCATATGGTGGCCCTTGAACAAGAATCTCTTCCTTGCCTGGGATAGCCAGGTAGCCCTCCTGATGAAACAGAGCCTGCTGAAGGGCTGCTGGTCTACCAATTCAACAGGTGGCATACTGATTGTATTGATAAGTGATAAGGGATTTTTGGTACAAATGGGTCTTTAGAAATGGCAGCCCAAGAGTCATTGGACACACACAAGCCTCTCCTGCAGCCTGCCCTGATGTTTCCAACACCCAAATCCTTGCTACTGGGCTTTAAGTCCCACTTCCACTTGGTTTGTCCTCAGAGAGGAAAATATACCTTATCTGCATTTTTGAAGTAAGGCCTTTGGCTTTTTCCTTTGCAAGTTTAATAATTTCTATTGCTTCTGGTGTAGGACTTATCTACAAATCATCTAATCACCTCTGCATCTGGCTCCGAGTCCTCTCCCAGTTCTTCATATCGTTCCTAGTTTTAGCTCAGGGTCAGGCACTGTCAGTAAAGAGATGACACAGGCTGACCATCACCATGGGGCTCCATTTGGGCTCCACTGGACACTCCAGGGCTTACTCACACTGCTTTCATAAAGCTAGTGCTATGTTTCAGACTCAGGCCCCAGGGTCAGTGTTTCTTACTGGGGATTAACATTAGATGTTGGCAGAGGCTCTGATGGTTCAGCATGAGCTGTACTGAAATAGAAAGGTGGCTGTTGGGATAAGAAAGTGCCAGAGTCTCACCCTTAGTCATATTATTGTAGGATCTCTGGCAGGCACAGACACAATCCAGTACATTATAATGAATCTCATAAGAGAATAGTCTCTGATTCTTAAACACTTGGTATGTGCCCTGAGTGTAACAATTGGTTTGTAGCCTAGACTGTTAACCATGATGCCTTCATTACTGATACTTTCCTGGAGTTTATTCAGTTATTAAGCAACCCATGAGGTCCTGATGGCATTTTTAATTTCAGAACCTGAGCTTAGCATGCAGGCAGAATGATGGGAAGTTGAGTGTGGCCAGACATTACCTGAGGCTCCACGTCCAGTATTGCAATGAGCCCCTGCTCGTGGATCTTCCGGATGGTCTCCAGTTTTGTCCCATACATTGCATCCTCGTGGCTGCCATACTCCAAGTACTCATTATTAGAGATGTCTTGCATCATTTGGTCATGAGATACAAAGTAATAATTCTTTCCGTTTTCTTCGTCTTTCTTTGGAGGTCTGGTTGTATCTGCAAAGTCACATGTCAAGAGAAGTTTAAAAGGCTGAGCTTATGAGCTTATGTTTCCAATGGACCTACTGAAACCCAATCTCTTCTTAAAAGCTGTGAATTCCATAGTATATGCCTCATGCCCTGTTCTTACTCCTAGTAACTTTGTCGAAGTCACATTTATCTGTGTGGTATCAGACCACAGTAGCTGGTTAGTTGTTTAGTTTGGCAAAACTTTCAGTGTTTAGATAAGATCTATTTCATTCCTATCATGGGTCACCACATAAGAAAGACATAAATGACCCCAAATTAAGTTAACTCACTGTGTGTCTTAATGCACTTAGGCAGAAGGAAAAAAAGAATTAAAAAAATGGAAAAGTACATATGGTTATTTAAATTTAAAATAATTGAAATCACATTGATTAAAATTTCAGTTCCTCAGTCTCACTAGCCATATTTCCAGAGTTCAATAGCTGCATGTAGGTAATGGCTGCTATACTAAACAGTGCAGATACTGAACACTATTACTATCAAAGAAAGTTCTATTGAGTACTGCTCATCTGCAGTATCTTGCAAAAGGAGAATGTTAGAATACAGAAAAAGGTATACCATATTGAAAACACAATGACCTTTGCCAGATGCAGCTATAATAGTCAAGAAAGACCTTAACCAAGAGTTGACAAACTGGCATGCTGTCTGTTTTTGTAAATAAAGTTTCTTTGGAACACAGCCATGCCCATTTGTTTACATATTGTCCATGGCTAATACCATGCTACAAGTTGAGTAGCTGTGACAGAGACTATATGGTTCTCAAACCCTCAAACATTAACTTTCTTTACAAGAAAGGTTTGCTGATCCCTTACCTAACTGAGTATAGACTAAAATATATGCCCACAAGTCCTAGTTCCATGGCATACTAAAAAGACCAGTATACTGAAAAACACAGTTTAGAAAATTTTTCTTAGGCAAGCCAGGAACATTGGTTTTGTTTTCCAATCCCCTACCTCTTTTCTTTTCCCTCTCTCTTTCTTTACTCCCTTCTCTTTCTCCTCTTTCTTTTCTCTCTACTCCCCCCCTTTATTGCAATTTCTATTTTTTCCTTCTTGCTTCTTTCATTTCCTGAGTGGCAAGAACAAATTTATGCTACTCTTTGCTGTGTGGATGGGTCCAAACCCATAGGGAATTACCCCTCTCCTGCCCTGACTAGACTATTAGAACTGCCATGTGCTCATGGACATTAAAATGTGGATTTAAAAAAAAGTACCATTTTTCCAGATACGTGAAAAGCTGAATAAATGGCATATACTATGTGAATGCTGTACTACCTTTAGTCATTTTGGAAGGTAAACATATGGTATGCATACATCTGGCATCAAATATTTTAGAGAGCAGACATGACTGAGTTAGCAACATTACACTTTAAAACTGAGCTAGTTAACTGGCCATTTAACAACATGAAAGTTCAATTGTTCCATGATTGAGAAAAAACTAAATGTTGGCTAAGCTTGCTGTATTCATGATCTAGTCATAAGGAGAAGTAAAAGAATATTTGAAAGTGTTTATATTAGAAATATAATATTAGAAAACCCCAGTGGTCCCAGTTGAAACAATACTTGATGGATTTCTTTTGTGTGTAAATCAGACAGTGTTCTGGGATGAAGGTGGTCTAATGAAGCCTCATGGCTCTCTGGGGTGCAAGGGAAAACAGTAAGTGGTGTTGCCATGGCTTCAGGGAGGCATGAAAGCCCTATGGGATACAGCCACTCTTCGCATTTTTCTCCTGCTGCTTTTAAAACACATTGTCCTTTAGTTCTTGCCATGAACAAAGCTCTAACTGCTAGAAAGCTTTTGGGATTCCAATTTTAAACTTTGGAGTAATAACAGTAAAATTATAGTGGTAAGATGGCTACTATTTATCTAGTATCTACTAATTGCTTCACATGATCTAAAATGTTCTTTATATCTCTAGAATTACTTCATTTTATAATCGAGGAAACAAAGCAGGGGTGTCCAAGCAGCCCAGGAAGGCTGTGAATGGGGCCCAATACAAAATTGTAAATTTACTCAAAACATTATGAGATTTTTTTGTGTGATTATATGTTGCAATGTATTTAATGTGTGGCCCAAGACAACTCTTTTTCTTCCAGTGTGGCACAGAGATGCCAAAAGGTTGGACACCCCTGAAAGAGGGCAAGAGGTTAAAGATAAGACATAGAAAACTAGGGGAATTAAAATATTATGCATTTAAAGTTCTTTATCATAAACAACTGGTAGCACGTTGACTGGGTTTTGAAAGTGATAAGAGTCAACAATTTAGTTACTGAGTAAGAAAAATGTTGTGTTGAACAAAATGATACTATCATTAAAACATATTTTTCTGAAGAATAATTGATCTGAGTCATCAACAACAAATAAATACACACACTACACATACACTAAGAGAAGTCTGGTAGGGTATAAAACAAAGTATCTATAGAACTATTATTAGGGGAATGGGGCTGGGGTTATTAACTCCTTTTCTCTTTGTTCTTTTTTGAATCTTCCAAATTTCTTATAGTAAACAGTTAGTACTAATGTAATCAGAAAAATATACAAATTACAATAGTAAACAAGTACTAGAAAAAATATACTTAAAAGAGAGTCACTGCTTACGTGGAATAGGGTATGCAAACCGATCTGGGTGCTTTGTGATGAGGGTGTTTTTTATGTGTCTTCTCCCAACACCATGTGCACCTATATCATTTTTTAAAAAGGAAGTTAAAAGTGACAGTTAATATTCACAAAATGTTTTGAAGATGACAATAAGAGAGCCATGTGTTTATACAATCAGACTTACCTAATAAGACTAGTGTTTTCCTTTTAAACGCTGGCAGTTTTACTACTTCTTCATATGTAACAAGATCTAATTGATCAAACACTAAAATACAAAGATTTAGAACAAAGGTAAATTTGCAGAAAGAATAGCTCATGTATGTAAATTATATTTTTACTGGCAAAACTAAAGTAATAATAAAACCATGTCTTAAAAATATGAATCCAACTTATAGTATATTTAAGTCATAATCTTTTGGTAGAAAATTTCATTTTTAAGCCCATGAAAATGCACTTTAGAAGCAGGGGCATCTAGAGCTATGCTGAGCACATGCATGGGAGTCCAATTCTAAAAGATACTACATATCTTTTCATGCAGTATCCGACAAATCATATGAATTCATTCAAAACCACATGCTGTTCATATTTTGCAATCCCAAGAAATCAGCAATACTAAAAAGGAAAAAGTCTGCAGACAGTGACTGACATGAATATAGCATGAATGCAACTGAAGTTAACCAAGAAAGAGGTCAGCTAGATTATTTCTAGAAATGGCTGTGGGATGCATGGACAGCTGGTCTTTAACTTCACGATTCTTTCTTTTAACAGAGTTACTGAAAGCAGCATGGTAGATTCTTTCAAAGTCAAGTTTTGTAACTATGATTTCACAAGTTTTTTCAAATGAGCATCTCAGAAGTTTTATTGTAACCCAGCTATCCATTCGATGGAAAGTCTTGGGAATGTAAGTAGAATAACATGCGTCTCTGGGCCCCAGACTTTGTTGGCCTGTGTGTAGTAAATCAGGATGAACAGAATGGAAAGAAGCATGGAGCAGAATGTGAGCTTGAAAACCTTTGCAAAAGGGAGTTCTCTAATAATTACAGACTGAGAAGAAATACTTTAAAATATTTTTGGAAATCTGCCTCTTAACAAAACTATTATAAAAACCTTCCCAAGAGGATAACCATTCCTGTTGAAGTTTAAGGCAGTCCAATTCTCAAACACATTTGAGCTGTCTCACAAGAAGGTTAAAATCATGCATCGATGTTTTTTGTAATATTTTTTATTTTTGCATGGTCATACCCAGATGTTTTCAGGCACACTAAAATTTCTTTTTAAAAAATATGGAATACACTATGGATTTCAGAGGAGTTGAAAGAAATTCAATCAAATCGATTCCCTGGTGTAATAAAGAAATCTGGGATGTTTCAGTCAATCATTAAGAGAAGCTTCTACTCTCTGAAACAACAATATGGCCAAATGCTTTTGACTATCTGCTCAGTCCTTAACATTTGTGATCTTCCCAGTAGCAAAGAACCTTACAATGCAAAATACGATACTCTGGAATGCAACAGATCAGAAACAAAAAAACAAACAAAAGTATCATTCCCAAAATAATAAAAAAATACAATATGTTAAAATAAGGGTTAGTGCATGTTAATGGGTATTTATGCATTTGTTTTCTCTTGATAACTTGATTCCATAAAGGTGGACTAAAAACTCTTTAAAGCATATTCTCTAGGAACAGCTAAAAACCAAGAAATGCTTTCTGTGTTTAGAATGGCACACTTACAAAATCTAACTGAACGTGAAGTTCTCTGCATAGCAGAGCTAGCTAGTCATGCTATAGTGGTAATGGAGTGATGAAGGTTCAAAAAATAAAATCAAGAATGCTTATGACATTGCTTTTTCTACCTATTGCTGAGTGATATTTCCATCAACATGTGCTTATGAAAGCGGTGCATCAACAAGCTGATAGATTTTAATATGTAAAAATAATCAAACATCTCACAAAAGAGCAAGATGATAATGATAGAAGCTTTCTGAATGGTATACACACCCATTTCCCTCTACAGAGCCCTAACTCCAATTCTACTGAGATAAGACTTTTGTCATTAAAAAAAAACACACACACACATTAAGAATGAGTTAGCTATTAACCATCAATACCACAAACAAATGAACAGATATGTTACACATCAATATCTTAAACATAAACAAGTAGCATGAAGAGGTTACTCTGGTCTAAATAAAATCAACACATGGTTATAGGATTGAGAAACAATAAAAAAGAATATTGAAAAATAAGACATACAAGGAATATAAGAACACTTAAAGACTGGACTTTCAAAGGTTTTAAGATGTTCACTGATTAAAAAAAAAGATTTAATGAATGAAAGGAAACCGTCAAAAACAAAGAGGCATAGTCACTCAACAGGTTACTTACATGCACAGAGGCCATTGGGAATAAGACAGCATGAAAAATGTACAGGGGTCATTGAAATATGGCTTTTAATATATTAGTAAAATAAAAGTATAATATGCACAAAAGAAAGTTTACCATGCAGTATTCTAAACATGAGGCAAATAAATCACATTAAGAAACAAATCCATTTAATAAAAATTCAACAATACCCTTATATAAAAGCCAGTAGGTTCTATAAACTAGCATATGCATAGAAATTTTGTCTGGGAATAGTTATAAGAAAACATCTTCAGGGATTGTAGATATGGAAGCCTCTTGGTTTTCACTTTGTACCTTCCTGTACTGTTTATAATTTCTAATCACATGTGCCTATTACTTTTATTGTTTAAAAAGAGAAACGTCCACAGGGCAGTAAGATTATGGGCCAGTTTTTGTTGTTTTTAGAGTAGTCCATATTCAAGAAAAAAGAGTTATAGCTTTTTAAAGACAATAGTACTAATTTGTGACATTAAGCATAATTTAAACACACCTATAAAGTTCCTCTATGCTCATATGGATCTATGTAAATAGAGTATCACAGGATATTTAAATACCTCTGCTCAGGGCTGTACCATTGAAAAAATGAATTAATGAATATATTTTCAAAGTTTACATTAGTAACTTGATCTTAAACTAATTTTGGAAGTCCCAGGGCTGGGGAATCTCAATGCATCAAGAGTATAGTTCTTCTAGGAGCATGACAATACTTTCCCCATCAAATTAATGTGGCTAAAATCTTTTATGCACTGCAGAAAATGTGTTTGCTGTAAACACAATACACACCATAATCAAATCTATTCCCAAGGCTTCAGAAATACTCTCTGGCATAGTTGGCTCATATTATCTTGATTTTCTGGTAAGCTACTCAATATTTATGGCGCTTTGAAATTATTTAGGTAACCACTTTCTTTTTTAGTAATAATGCCATTACAGTTGTCCCATTCCGTCCTTCATTCCCCTCCACCCTGCACACCCCCTCCCACCCCATCCCCCCTTTAGTTCATGTCCATGTGTCACAAGTTCTTTAGCTTCTACATTTCCCATACTATTCTTGCCCTCCCCCTGTCTATTTTCTATGCTACTTATTCTCTGTACCTTCTCCCCCCTTCTCCTCCTCCCACTTCCTATTGCTAACCTTCCATGTGATCTCCATTTCTATGGTTCCACTCCTGATCTAGCTGTCTGCTTAGTTTCCTTTTGTTTTAGGTGTGGTTGTTAATTACTGTGAGTTTGCTGTCCTTTAACTGTTCATCTTTTTTATCTTCTTTCTCTTATATAAGTCCCTTTAACATTTCATATAATAGGGGCTTGGTGATGATGAACTCCTTGAATTTGATCTTATCTGAGAAGCACTTTATCTGCCCTTCCCTTCTAAATGAAAGCTTTGCTGGGTAGATCAATCTTGGCTGTAGGTCTTTGGATTTCATGACTTGGAACACCTCTTTCCAGCCCCTTCTTGCCTGCAAGGTCTCTTCTGAGAACTCAGCTGATAGTCTGATGGGAACTCCTTTGTAGGTGACTGTCCCCTTATCTCTTGCTGCTTCTAGGATTCTCTTCTTCATTTTCATCTTGGCTAATGTAATGATGATGTGCCTTGGTGTGTTCCTTCTTGGGTCCAACTTCTTTGGGACCCTCTGAGCTTCCTGGATTTCCTGGAAGTCTATTTCCTTTGCCAGATTGGGGAAATTCTCCTTTATTATTTGTTCAAATAAGTTTTCCACTGGTGGCTGTTCCTTTCCCCCTTCTGGTACCCCTATTAATTCGGGTGTTGGAATGTTTAAAGATGTCCTGGAGGTTCCTAAGTCTCTCATTTTTTTTGAATTCTTGTTTCTTCATTCTTTTCTGTTTGGTTGTTTCTTTCTTTCTTCTGGTCCACTCCATTGATCTCAGTCCCAGTTTTCTTTTCATCACTATTGGTTCCCTGTGCATTTTGCTTCATTTCAATTAGTTTAGCCTTCATATGTTCCTCTAATTTTGACTAAAATCAACCAGTTCTGTGAGCATTCTGATCACCAGTATTTTGAAGTGTGCATCCCATAGGTTGGCTATCTGTTGTTTAGAAGTATTGGCTCTGGGGCTTTGAGCTGTTGTTCTGCTTGAGCCATTATGTTTTGGTCTGTTCACACCTGTTACATATGAGGGGCAGAGGCTTAGGTGTTCACCAGGGCAGGTCAACCCAGGACTGGGGGCAGGGTCAGAGAGGGAGCAATGGCATTTGTTCTGCTCTCTCTCAGATTTTGGTCCCCTCTGCCGCTTCCCACAAGCAAATTGGGCCCTTCTGGCACTGGTTCCCAGGTGGGTGGGCTTGTGTACGTTCTAGGACCCTGTGGGTCTTTCCAGTGAGGCTGGGAGCCTCTCCTGGCACCTCAACCCCTGAAAGTTTTTCCAATCAGTGCTTTATTTCCCGGTGCTGGGGCTCTGGGTTTGCAGTCTGTCTCTGTCCATTTTTTGCCTGGTGTATCTGCACATGAATGTGTGTCCACAGTCAGCCAGCCGCCTTGTGAGCCTTACTGGGTTTGCTCTTTTCATCCCTGCGCCCACTCAGGTCTGCTAACCACTGCCTTTTCCTGCCAGGACCCCTCTCCACTGGCTGCTGACTCCGCCCCTCTTACCAGTCTGGATGAATGGTTCGTTGTTGTCGGACTTCAGTACAGTTCAATTTTCTGTTTGTTTTGGTTATGTTTTTGTTTCTAAATCTTTGTTGTCCTTAAATTTGGTTGTGCGAGGAGGTACAGTTTTCCACCTATGCTTCCATCTTGCCTGGAAGTCTGGTAACCACTTTCCAGTTGAATCTTTTCATAAATAAGCCTTTAACATTGATTCCTTGTCTCAGTTTTGCAAAGCTAGAAGTATCTTCAAAT